AATGCTGACCAGTTTCTTCCACGCAGTCATGAGGCTGCGAGGGCCATCAATATTCTTAAATTGAATGGTGTCGCCGCGTAGAACAGGACGCCGAGTACGGCCGTCGCCCTGGCGAAACCCGTAGTCCTGGTCCATACTGGTATCAAGTGCCCATGGGTCGTGAGACTGCCGTATATGGTTGTCAACTTCCATGGGGTCGAAAAGCACTGTTTTGTCATTGGCACAGTGCGACCAATACCGGATCCCACGGATTGCCTCCAACAAATTGGCTAATGTAGCATCGTGCTTCACATGGCTGAGCTGAATCCGCAGCTCCCGAGGGAGCTTACGAAATAATTCTGCAGCCTTCACTTGATCCGTCACGTCGCTACATGTCTCCGCATAAAGGCAGTAGCGGTCCATAAACTCCATCCATGGTTCGTGGGACTTGCGAGACATGCGCGCCAAGTGGTCCTGTTGCGACAGCGCGTTATGAGGGAGAAGGGCACGGACTTGCTTGACCAATTCCTCCCAACGGGTTTTGTCTGTGACACCGTCCCCCCGCGTATCACGAAGTGCCGTCGCTAGATGGGCTATTCTCCGGTGGGGCATCGAACCTGGCCGGAATTGCTTCAACAATGATCGCACACGATCACTGAACTTGTCTCCTTTTGCCCCCCAAACCGCGGCGTCGAAAATCCAAGTGGCGGTTTCCTGGGTGAGTGTAGTCAGGAATTCTCGTCCCCCGTCCATGGTTGGGCCAGGGTTCCGTTCTATGCCACTAATGAGCAACAACTGCTCAATAATGGACTTGCGGTCAAAACGCCCACTACTCCCACTCCCCGCATTAGGGCAACAGGTGGTGTCGGCCTTAGTACTAGTCAGGTCACTGATTTTTTGAGGAAAAAAATCTTTTTGCAGTACTTTAGCACTCAGAACTGCCATACTATGGGGTGCAACCTCCTTGGATTCCACTTGCCCGGAATCCCCCTCTCTCCCCTTTGGCACCGCTTCAGCCAAAGTTCCCCATTTTCCGCTCATTTTTGCGTTATTCAAGGCCGATCGTTCTTCCCCACACCCCCCGCCACCCCACCCGTTGACAGGAGAACGGGTTTTGGTGACACCCGTTACTGTAATGGGGCCGCGATCCATCGCGCCCCCCCCGCGCCCCCCGCTGCTGCCACCCGAAGGTGGTGTGACTGGACGGAAGCTGGTCTTGCCGCAGGCCCAGCTGACTAACCCCTGACCGACTCGCCTGTCCCCCACATTGCTCCCCGCACCCGCATTCCCCCACGTCCCGTGCCCCTGGCCTCCGTCACTCCCCGCTGTCGCCCTCCCCGTTTCCCTCCACTCCGTCCGCTCGCCATCGGCCCACGCGCGCGCACGCCCACCTGCCGACCATGTCGAGGAGCTGCCGCCGCCCGTCAGGGAGTCGCCATGCCGCCGGTTGTTGGTGAGCCATTCCCACACCCGCTGCACGGCGCTCAGCGCCGCACCCGCCGAAACGCGAGGGCCTCGCCGCTCCGCCGCGTTGCATCGGCTTCGCTGCATCATCGAGGTGCATGGGTACTGCCATCCCGCAGCATCGGTCCCCGCGCACTCGCCTCCAACTGTCCATTCCGCGGGCATCGCCATGCCGCGCCGCTCCGACCCCGCCGGCTCTCGAGGCGCCTCCTCCCTTGCGCGCACCTCCGCCTGATCCGGAATGTGCATCACCGTGGTCGCCGAACCGCGTGGGTTCCGCCAAACCGCTGGGCCACACTGGTTGCACCGGCCCACCGAGCCGCACGGCGCCCACCACGATGCCGCGCCGGTCCTCAAGCTTCCGTCGGCAATCGCCCCCTCCGCGGGCGTCGCCTTGCCATGCCGCTCCAGCCACGCCGATTCCCGATGCCTCGCCGACCCGGTGCCCATTTCTGCGCCTGTTTTCCATCCGTCCGTCGAACCGAGGTCTCGCCATGGAGCCCAAATGGGCTCCGTACCCGCCAATAACCCGCTCGGTTGCACCCGTCTGACCCACCGCTCAGCACTCGCCATCCGGTGCCTCCGATTGATTCCCCTCCGTTCCCTCCGCCGCACAGTCCGCTGCCTCCCCCGCTGCGCCACTCGGCGAGCCGCTACCCCCGGGAACAGAAGGGTCGCGGCTCCCATCCCAAGGGTGGTTGGGTTCGACGCATGGCCCGGCATCCATGCCATCGGATGTCCGGGTCGCTGGGGTGCCAATCCCCTCAATCTCCACTCCACATTCCGCCACCCAACCACAGCCGCCTGAACCGAGTCACGCCTATCCAACGCCGTGGCCTCCATCCTACACCTCAAGTCCACCATGGCCTCCCACAGCACCACCACTCCGAGCACCGCCAAAACAATGGCGGTGCTCGGAGGTCGACAAACAGGATGGCGATGCTTCCCGCGTCGCCATCGGACACCTGGACCTCCAGGGTCCGTTCCCGGCTCCGAAACCATGACAGGATAACCGAGAGTTCCTGCTTGCTCACGCACGGTCGCTCCCAGGCACGAGAAGCGAGGCCGCAACCAGATACATTACAAGATGATTGTACCAGCTAAATAACAGTCACCGTAATAATGTTCATCTCCCATCTCCATTGTCTCCATGTGCATTCACCATAACACCATAGTCAACACCTTTACTTGCCACCATAGAAAACACCATATATCACATATTATATATTAACCACTCCCTCGCCCTCACAATGATGATGATGATGATAATGATGATGATGATGATGATGATGATGATGATGATGATGATGATGACTGCCAGGGGCGGTGCCCAACGTCATGCAGTTCATGATGGCGCAGGGGCGTTTGAACGCAGGCTGCTCGATGCTTGTCTGGCCGTTATGCGATGTCGCCCGATGCAATGATGTGTGCGATAGGGCGGGTGCCGCACATGCAATGAGCCAATGAATGTCGCAAATCAACATTTTCCAATTAAGAAATGTCACAGATCAATGTCGCACATTCATTGGATGCGACAGCTGCACTGCCAACAGGTGCATGTTCTGGGCATGGCATGCTGAAGAGTTCCCTAGGTTGGACTGCACTGGGGCCGCAAACTTAAGCATTGACGCTGATTCGGACACATGAGAGCCTGCGACACCACCTTCTTGACTCTTGACTCAGGTTGCCAATACCTTGCAAGTACAAGTGGGTATAAGTAGAATGGCTTGGCATAACTTCAATTTCTGTTGTACACTGCCAGATGCCAGATGCCAGCTGCCACCTTGTTATCTGGAATAGGGAGCCAGCATCGTGATAACCGTGGCCATTAGCTCCAGGAAATGTGCATCGCCACATTGCAGTCTCCGCAGTTCCTCTTGCATGCAAGACACACTGCTGCGCCGCAATCTGTCTCTATGTATGTGTACGTAAGCATGCATCCACACGCACTACTGGCGAATGGGTCCAGGGCTGTGACACTGAATGCGCTCGCGTTTGTGTTACGCCTGACATTGTCTCAGTGACACTACTCCACCACCTTAGTTTGTGAATGACATGTTGGGACTCGCATGTCGCTTGCACATAATGACGGCACTTCTACATGGTATGCGCATTCCCACATTGCTTGAATACTTGTGCTCACACTGGTTGTTGGGTCTCGAGGTAGCATATCCTCATGCAATTGTTTCCGGCGAATTTTTCGAGGTGATCAACAATGCCTGTTCCGTGCGTTACCCTTGGCGCTTCCTTTGATCGTGTAGTTACCCAACAACCTATCTCCCTTCCAGATACAATACCTGACATGAAGGCCATCAATGACCACAGTCGTGGTTTCAAGCCGTCCCGGCAGCGCACCTCACAAGTGAGGCATGCTCTGTGCAGACGTCCCCTTCAAAGTTTCCAGGGGTACCCTTAGGCATTCAGCAAGCCTTCGCTTGGGCTGCCTCCGCATCATGTAGGATTTGTGAGGCGTACATACTTTACGCATGTGCTATAGATGGTGGGCTGCCTAATGGTGGCGTTCTGTTGGACTACATTCTGAGTCATGCAAATACATCCAATTCGCTTGCCGATCACCATGTGTTGAGAGCTGCGAACAATGACGCTGGTCTTGCGAACGCAAACTGTGATGCGCCTGTTGAACCACTCCACGTCAAGACGAGCCGCCCCTCAGGAAGTTTTGGTTACAATTGTGTCCAACTTACAAGTTCCTCATTCGGACAACAACCCTTTTGATACTGAAAAGGCAACCAATATTCGGGCAATGGCGGGTGAGATTCAACGAAACAACTGATCCCACCCCAAACATCGAGATGTTCTGGTCGCGTCCCACTGGGGCCGCTGTCTCTGTGCTCCAATGGTCCAATGTGCGGCACCGCTTTGGTCCGTTCCCAAATCCATCGTCACTTAGGAAAAAGGAAGATTCAGGGAGTGGCTGGCGCCGATATGATACTTTGCATGCATCTCGCACTTCCCCCATACTCCGACCATCATGCCAGTGCACACTGCGTTCCTTGCCAGCGCCCTTATTTACTCCCTGGCATGAAATTATTCGCTCTGTCTTTTCCGTGAAGATCCCTTCCTGTTTCGACAACCTACACCCTACACCGCTGATCCGCTGACCCACGTTGGCCTTGTCAGCGAAAGAAGAAGGGATCTTCATGGCAAAAACGGAGGGACTAATCCGTTCTCCTTATTCGCTCTCTTGCGTGGGGTCACCCATCGGCCCCTACCTCCCTGTTTATTGGCCCTTATTGCCCAGTACAGCCCAACCAGCCAAGCGGGGCGGGCGACTCGGATCTAGGCTTCCATGCCTTCCTTTTGAGCGCCCAAGGGGCACACTCACTCCCCACCGTACCCCCCGAGGACCCGCGCGCCCCTCGCGCGGCCGCCGCCGCCGCCGTCTCCAAATCTCCACCGCAGCGCAGCCGCCGAGCGCATCAGCCGGGCGGCCAGCAGGTAATGGCCGTCAAAGGCAGTCCGACATTTTGTCCGCAGCTGCGCCCGATCGAGCCGCTGACGCCTCCCACTCATGCTCGCAGGCGCCGGGAAGGGCCATGGGCATGGCGCGCCTCGGGCGGACGGGAGCGTGGCTCGTCATCTGCGCGGCGATCCTGCTGGCGCGCGGCGGCGGATGCCTGCGGCCAGGTGGGGCGCCGCTCACCGGCGGACAGTGAGATTTGTCTCAAAGAGAGAAAGAAACAGGTCATACAAAGGGCGGCCCCTCCTAAGCAAGTGTATGCGAGACTCTTGTCCATGCTGTGGAAAGATGATGTAGACCCTCGAAAGCGACATGACGAGCACACAGCGCAAGCGACACAGAAGGCAAGAAAGAACCCGGGGGCGGGGGCCCGGCGGCGCGATGCGTTGATGATGCGCGACGTGCGACAGCAGCAGACGATCGATGGCTGCCATCAAGCGGGGGGGGTGGGTTCAATCGCGAGGTCAAGCTGGGTGCTGCATGGGACTGAGTCCCCTCTCTACCTCCTTCACCCCCAGGTCTTGTGGGGCGGGGATGGTGGTTTGTGGGCGTGGGTTGCCGTTTGGCGGGGTTGCGGCGCTCGGTGCTGCTCGTTGGTGCCGGGGAGTTGGTCTATGGCTTGCTCCGGCTCGCCGCGCGGCGGTGGTGATTGGGGCGGGCGGGCCACGGCGTGCATGGCGTTGGGGGGACTGCCGATAGTGGGGAGGGTCTTGGTCATCGCCGTTGCGTTGCGAGTGGGGACTGACGCCGTACAATGGCGGGAGTTGCCGACAACGAATTTGACGAACTGATAGGAATGTCGACTGGCGGCATTCGATTAGTGATGTTGGCCTCTCTGCTCGAATCCAAGGCTTTTGTGAGAGCCGGCAGCTCCATCGGCGCAACGGAAAGAAGGGCATTAGCACAGTAATGCGTTACATGGTGTGCATTGGTGCGCCCCCAACTGCAGACCAGAGTACCGAAAACGGTTGCAGTTCCAAACGAGTACAACTTAGTATATTGTCCTAGGGCCGAAGGCCACTTGCATAACGGCATCCAACAGGCAATTGAGCGGATTGTTAACATGATTTGTGTTGATTTCTTGGAATACTGTGCATGCCAACAAATGGGCCTGACAAGAACTTGGGACCCAGTCAAGAACCATGAAATGGATAGGGTCGGATTGTCCGGCACCTACATTACTCCTGGTAGTGGCGCCTGTGGATTCTGCAGCCACCCATGTAGTCTCTTAGTGGCCATCTAAATGTTGAGCCACCCTTTTTATGAAGGTGCAGTTCCAGCTTAAAAACGAGATGGGTCAATATCACTGCACCTGGCTTTGGCAGTGGGTCCGATTGTCTGAGTAGGGAGGCTGAAGGATAGCGATTCCCTCTGCTTAAAATAGATTTGACACACAGAATTGCTCCAAGCCATGGTGACATTGGGAATGGTGCCGCCCAGTCACAATCCACAGCAAACCCCAACTTGAGGAGAATGTTGCAGAACCCACCCTCATCAGCACAAATAATTTCCAAACAACAATCCTTTGTCCACTGCATTCAGCTCACAGCAGTGTCACCTGCGCGGGCACATGCTCTTGCTGCCCATCGATCTTGTGCATGTGCGAATTTCTACATCAGCTTCTAGTATGTGGGAGATAGTCCAATACATAGGTGCTGAGAAGTGGCCGCCTATAGAACATCTTATTTCTGTAAGGGTCATTTGAATGCATGTCGTATTCCGATGGGCCGCAAGTCAGGAATCTTATTTCCGTTGTTGCATTACAGGCATAGTCGAAAGCAGGGCAGAAGGGTTTGGTCGCCTCCGGCACAACAGGGATATATCTCAAGACAGCAGTGCAGATGAGCAAGCAACGGTACTTGAAACACAGTGAAACCATGGTCTATTGAAAGATTTGTTTGGTTTGGAGGGCATTGGCAGTTCGCTTGGGTTGGCCCACTCAATTTTTTTGTCTCCTTGCCAGCCACTCTAGCAGAATCCCATCAGCACTTGTGCACATGACAGAGATGTCAAAGCTGGTGGTGGATGCAGCACTTGCTTATGAGCCATTCAACAGTATCTGTGTATACTGACAGTGTACCTGGCCTCCATGTAGTGATAGTCAACTTCAGAATGCTCGAATGCACTTGCACACACTGTGGGACAGCAAACTCAGAACAAAAAGTACCACAACTACACAGGGAAGCTGTGCAGTGCATGGTTAGTACTGTATGGTTGTCACACCACCTCTGTGCCTACTTGCGGTATGCTTGGCAGAAGACCTTGCTGCTTTCTTATTGTTGGCCATGGGTTTCAATTTGCAGACTTTTGTGTTGTGGGCTTCAATTTGCACAGTTTTGTGTTGCCAGTATTTTGTTGTGTTTGTGCCTTGTGTATATCACATCGCCTGTTCAGGCACCCTTGGTTTTCAAAATGATCTGCTGAACAATGCTGGCAAGTGGCAACACCAGTATTTTAAGGCTGTTCTTGTTTTGTGGAGCGATTCCTGTCATTGCCTGCAAGATACAAGGACGATCTTCACTCATCTTGGGAGAAATGCAATCGGAATCTTGAAGAACTAGTGAGAACGTTCTCTGGCGATCCACTGCTGCCTGAATGACAACAGAACACCTCGTTATGCTATGTCTTGCCTTTTCTGCCCTGGAGGAAGCAAACCGAATCTGAGCTTACACTAGTAGAAAGTGCCACTTTGACGATGCCAACGGCGACAGCCTTTTGACACAAAATGACAGAGCATCACAGTGATGGCGATGACATAAAAGTAGCTGTGAAAATTAGTGTCATATGACATCGCAGTTGGCATGACGAAAATGCTGTTTCTACTGGTATTGTTTCCCTGCCTTTCCCATACTTCCCATGGCCTTCATCCTGTGGAAACCCTTACGTAACATATCTCCGGTGACATTTTCTGTGTTTGCCAGGATGGGGCATACCTGCAGTACTTTGTGGACAGTGGAGGCGTCCTGGTCATGAACCAGTCACGTGTGCCTGAGGACTTTGACACTGACCTCATGCTTACCAGGACAGTGCCTTTGTATGCGGGCTCGGGCCACTGGGCATCAAAGGCAGCTCTGCCCTTGGCAAGGAGCGATCACCAGGTGGGGTGGGGATGTGTGGTGGCTGCGATTCACATAAGACAAATCAGCAGACATTGTCAGTGTAGCACACTGCATGTTGCTTGTTGCCATTAACCAAGTTAGCGGATTCTCAGTATTGACTAGCGAAATGCCTCCAACAAGTGTTTGTTGGTATCTGAGCTCTTGAGTGTGACAAGGTGTTTTGAAAAGGTAAATGCGACTTGAAGTAGTTGGGATCATCTGTGCCCATGGCCTGGAATGCCGTCCCTTGAATGGGCTCAGCACTGTCCACTTGAAGCACAAGAAATGCATTTGATGAAAGCTGCATTATTGTGCATTGTGGAAATATGCCTTGAGAATTTTGGTAGTGAAGCAGAATGCCCAGCGTATGGCATCGTGGGCCACGATTCGTGGCTCTTTCCGAGATAGGTTTCTCCTGAGCAGGGGGGGTGACATGCCTTCATGTTTGGGCACTGTAACAGACCCTTGTTGTTCCTGCTGCACCAGTTTCCGATGGGCACCACTGGAAGCGCGCTTTTTCACAAAATGGGAACAGTGTTTCATTGTTTCACACAACTGGCGGGTCCCAAGTTGCAACATGCGTCCTAATCAGTCAACTTGAAGAACAGTGATCGCCCTTCACCCATTCAACATGTACCTTTGTCTTGGGTGGGTGGGCAACGTGTCCACACTGCACAGCATCTTTCAAGAAATTGTTGCAGCAAGCGTTGCCAAAATGCTGTCCATGCGTGGCTCTCCGATCAGGCAGTGGCTGTGGGAGATCTGGTGTACATTGTGGGTGGTCTCGATGCTTCCAACAGTGCCATTGACGATGTCACAATCTACGACACTGTCCTGGACACATTCAGCCCTGGTCCAGCCCTGCCCACCCCGCTTCACCGCTTCGGAATCGCCTTCCTCTCTGCTGACAGTGGAACCTCAAACGGGACCATCTATGTGATGGGAGGCTTGGAATCTGCCGATTTCGATGCACTGGCATCTGATAGGGTGCACATACTGGACTTGGGGACAATGGAGTGGAGTGAGGGGCCTCCGCTGGCCGTCCCAAGATCCGATCTCTGTGGCTACGCTGTGAATGGGAAGGTACTTGCGGCAGGGGGCTATGCAGCAGAATTTGCTTCCACGCTGGCTTCTGTTGAGGTACTTGATCTGAGCAGCGGAGAATGGGCTGCTGTGGAGGACATGCCGACGCCTCGGGGTGACGTGAAGTGCGGTGTCCTTGGGGACAAGTTTGTGGTGGCCGGCGGTTTTCTTGACCCCCTCAACCTGTTCAGGAACACTTTCTTTCGGCAGGAGGTGGAGGCCTATGACACGGTGAGCGAGGAACGATTGAATAGTTTCTGTTGTTTTTCTGGTTGTTTGCCAAGATTTGTAGGATTTCTTTTGGGCAGATTTGTGTGCAAGATATAGATTGTGGAAGATATTGCAGACGTTCGTTTGGCAGTATATTTTCTTCCCAAAAATGTGCCATTTGGCAAGACTTCGTTTCTTTCCAACAATTCGTACCGTTGCTGACAGTGTGGCTGTTCGCACTTTGTACCACTTTATTGTGGCAGCATTTCAAACAAAGGAATCAATGCAGATCCATGGGGCGGTGGGAACCATCGCTGGTCCTTGTTTTCTTGCTGATTATGCCCTATTCCATCATATCATGAGCTCTTGCTTCAGAAAGGATCATGTGGTTAATATTGGTACTGGCCTTGCTAATGGACGACTGCAAGTGCTGTTGTGTTAGTGTTTGCATATTCTGTTGTTTCCAGATGTTCTGTTAGAATATTCTGTGAAGTGCTGTCTGGAGATATTTGTACTTTGCGCGCCATCATCGCATGGGGAATGGGGTGTTTTTTAGCTGAACGTTGTGTGGTATTTGTAGACTGCAGCCAAATTGACACTGTCTTATTATCTTCATTCAGCAGAGACCATTGTGTCGATTCCATGTTTGCCGTTGTGGAGACATCCATCCATCAAGTTGCATCAGTGCATTCAGGGCACGGGCATCACGACCTGCGACACTGCACGCATGCCACAACCAAAATCCTCAACTTGAATATTTATCAATTGCGGTTTATTTTGATTCGTGACTTCAAGTCACGAAATGCTGTGTATGCATCGTCCTTTGATTAATGCTGTCAGATTGCTGTACATGCTGTGGCTGTTGAGGGATGCATTCAGACTGGTGTGCTTGCTCTGCCCAGGTCACTGAGAAGTGGGAACAGCTGCCTGACCTGCCCGTTGCCCGTGGTGATGTCGCTTTGGTGTCCCTCCCAGGTGGTCGCCTACTGTCCGTTGGTGGGGAGACTCATGGCAGGGGCACCCGAACCGAGGTGGCCACACACTCAGTGTACGAGTACACAACGGGACACAACACATGGGTGGAGAAGGCGCCCATTCCGGCTGCAAGGTTTCGCATGGATGGCGCACACGTCAACGGCGTGGTTTATGTGTTTGGCGGCCACTCTCTGTGCGATAGTGACAGGGAATGTGTGGAAACGAACGACACGCAAGCTTACTTTGACGTGAACCACCCGAACTACTTCCTGCTGTCTCAGAGTGCGGACGCCTCGCCCCCGGTTTTTCTTCCTCAGGTTCGTTCTACCTTTGTCTTCTGTTTTGAGTATTTTGCTTGCATTTGCAAAAGCATGTCAAAGCAGGGACTCTGAAGGCGGTGACTGGCATTGTCCGACTGGCTGTTGCTTTTGATTGTTGCCCCACTGACACTGACGACTGGCGTCTGGTGAAGTCCCAGCCTCGCAGTCTGGCAGGGTGAAGACTGAAGCAACAGGCTGTGGCATTCCATTGTTGGCTGTTCCGCATTATGCCAATGCACTGTCTTGTCATTGTGCTGTGTTTGCCTCTGGTTTAAGAGTGTAAGCTGTAGGCATGGAATTCTGTTGACTCCATGCTTGCCAAGTTGCAAAACAGGAACCTTGCACTGAACCTGTATGTGCCATAGATGGTTGTAAGTGGACACCTCCCATCAATCTTTTTTGCCCTGGAGCTCTATTTGCAGTCACCATTGTGCACAGCACAATGATCAGGTGCATCGCCAGGTACACGTAATCGTTGACCCACAGCAGCATTTCTGTAGCAGGGTGTTGTCACAAGATTAAAAGTCTTTCCCTGCAGTCATCGCCATTTCTTTCAACACCTGAAAGGGAAACATAAAATCTTCCTCCTGATTTTGTTTATCGGATTCCTGCATGGCTGTTTACCCATTTGGCAGAAGTCTGGCACTGTGAGGTTCCTTGAAATTGCCTTCAGGTCGTTCAAGACATAACCTGAGAGTCTAAGGGCAGGTTAACCCTGGCCAGAAAATCATGTTTTGATCTTGATTTCAGAATAACATGTCTGCTCTTCTTGTTGGGCCGATGCAGGCCGATGAGGACATCAGTGACGACTTTGTGGAAGGTTTTGTGAGGGAAGGGGGCATTGTGCTGTTCAATATGCCCTTACAACCGGAGAAATACCGGTTGACAAAGGGCCTCGTGCAGATCGGCCCTCTTTATGCAGGAGCAGGCAGCTGGACTCAGAAAGCGAAAATGCCGTTTGGCAGGAGCGACCATCAGGCAAGGTGACAACACGCGCCTGGGAGCAAACACGGCCCAAGTTGCTCTCAGCCGCCAGTTGCAGCGCTCCACAAGGTGTATACTTCTGGCTTTGTGCTGTTCAGATGCCGCCATCCTCTGCCCTGATTCACAACACCCTAACTCAGCGCAAGTTTCAAGGCAGCCGCTGTGCACATTGACGCAGTTTTTGGACCATCTCTTGCTGTTCTTGTTGATTGTTGCAGCTACTACCCTCAGCCTTATGGGGGTCGGCGGTTCACTTCCTTGATCCCTTAGGCCTGAGCGCCCTCACGCTGTGAATCTTTCAATTTTCCGCATGGCCCAACGGGTGGCGGCATCCATGTTACCCTTCATGGCTATCGTACGCTGTGACACTGCATTTGTCCTTGCGCGGTGGGAAGGAAGCTGCCACCTTGCCTTCCTTTGAGCACGGAATGCGCAGGCGATTGTCAGAGCGCAGCGACGGTGCCGCGAGGGACGCGGCCGCAAAGCAGACGAGCGACGCGCGGCGCCAGCAGTTGCGCGACAAACTGATGACGAACTAAAAACTGGCAAACTGACAACCTAATTGGAGCACGCTCCTCAATGGCAGGTAGCGGCGATCGGCGACTTCATAGGCATCTTCGGCGGCGTGGACGCCTCCAACGCAACCACTGATGCCTACACGATCTACGACACCGTCCTCGACACCTATCTGGATGGCCCGCCGCTGCCCGGTCCCCTCGCCCGCTTCGGCATCGCCCTCCTGCCGGGCCCCTCCGGCACGCCCGACGACGGCAAGGTGTACATTATCGGCGGCGTGGAGTCAATTGGCGAAAATTCTTCCGCGATCGCCGATGTGCGGATCCTCGATCTCGAGACCGCCAGGTGGAGCGACGGGCCCCCTCTCAAGATACCGAGGGCGGGCCTGTGCGCGGCACAAGTGGGTGGAAAGATTTATGCGGCTGGGGGCTGGACCCGGGGGCCCGGGGATGTGATGGATTCCGTAGAGGTGCTGGACCCGGAGGTGGGGGAGTGGGCGGCGGCGGGAGCCATGCCCGCGGCGCGGCGGGACGGCGCCTGCGGCGCGCTGGGAGGCAGGCTGGTGGTGGCGGGCGGGTGGGGGGAGGGGGGCGCTACGGCGGAGGTCGAGGCGTACGACACGGTAAGGAGTTGGGAGGCATGGAATTAGTCGCTTTGTCATTTCCGTGAAGATCCCTTCTTGTTTCGACACCGTAAACCCCAAACCACTGACCCACTGACCCAGGTTGGCCTTGTCAGCGGAAGAAGAAGGGATCTTCACGGAAAAGTCTGGTATATTCTTGGGCTGGGATGTACGGCCAGTGGTTGGGTGGTGAATGCCTCGGATTGAAATGTACGTTGTGGGGGCCTCTGCTGGAGGGCTCAGAGCGCGAGGGCTTACGATTCGTACATTTTAGGGCACTTCAGGAACTCGAGGGTAGTCTACATTCCCTAGGGTACTCTAGGCACTATAGGGTTAGGGTTTACGATTCGTCCACTCTAGCGTTTTTAGGGTTTAGGATTGGTTTAAGGTTTGCAATTCGTAAGCCCCAACGACACACCTGTGAAGCAAAGGTCTGGCGCTGACCAAGTATCATATCGTGCGTCCACCAGTCCGCTGTTTTGTGTGGTCTGGACCGACAGCATGTCTCATCCAGGACTGATCCAACCAGGTGGATTTGCACAGCCCAAATCCCCACGCCCTTTAAACGAGTGCAACCCAGTACAGTATTGATATAGACCGCCGATTAATTTCCTCTGATTCCATACGTTCATTATTGACATCATTACTGACTTGCTTCCTCAACAGTGGTGTGTGTTGTTTTTGTTGTGGCCTCAATACGAATCTGCGCATTTTTGTTTTGAACTGACAGATTGTGTCAAGTTATGTGTCCAGATAGTGACTCAGAACAGCTGCGAAGCAGCCAGACATTCCAGATCCATGCACAAAAGACGGGAGGCCGCATCCCCGCCACCATATATATGCAAAACAGATACAGGCCATGCCATTGACCAAATATTCCCTATGGTCCAGCGGATGGCCTTTTAGCTCATGCCATAACCACCCGGTGGCTGAGCACACACAGTCACGCCACTTCAAGGAGGAAGCCAAAGAGAGACTGCTGATTGCCCTGAGTGAATAGACACTGGATGCCCAGACCGTGCGATTGGTGACATCACCGCTGGCAGCAGCAGCCCCGCCAGCAGGATAAGCGCACGGAGCGGTGGCGTACGTCGCTATGAAAGGGATAAAAGGAAAACCATCTTGGCCAATGCAAAAGGAATGCCATCTTGGAGCACTGCCCTGTCTCTGTTGCAGGTCACGCAGGTCTGGGACAACCTTGCCGATCTCCCTCAGGCTGTGAGCAACGCTGCTCTGGTCACCCTGCCTGGAGAGGGGCTCCTGTTGATAGGCGGCCAGACCGCAGAACAGGAGGGCTCCCCGCATGTTTCCCATGGTGTGTTCCACTACTTGGAGGCTCATGACACATGGGTGGAGCAGGCACAACTACCTGGGGCGAGGCTAGGGATGGATGCCGCCGCTGTGGATGGGGTGGTGTATGCCTTTGGGGGTTCAGACTGCACAGAGGGCGGCGTGTGCGTGACGGACGACTGCCAGACACTGTTCAGAATCCAGCAGCCAGATGTGTTCCTTGCGACAGGGGATGGGAATGAGCAGACAGGGAATTCCAGCGAGGTGAGTGCATCCCCATTTTTAGTACTATGCAATCGTGGCAATTGGAGGTGAGCTATAGCGGCAGCTTTGTATGGCCCTGGCCACAGGCAAGAGAGCTTGTAGCGATCACCAAAGATTGGTCCTCCTCTGAGGACCGTGAAAGCTCACATTAAGGAGAGCTTGAGATGCGTTGAGTTGAAGATGGCACTGCAGGAATTGGGCATTTGCGTACAAGACAATTGCATCGGTTGACTAGAAACAAAGGTCGCTCCATTCCTGCTGACAGCTATCACAGCATTAACCATGAACCAACTCCAACTGGGGCATGGAGCAACAATTTTTGTAGCCTGTTGTGACACGATCTGCACAATTTGCACACTCTGAGAGGTGGCGATTTGGCCACATATCGTGTAGGTGGGATTTCTCGATGATTTCGTTGGCAGCGGAGGAGTCCTGCTGCTCAACCAGACCACGCTGCCATCATCATTGGGTCCTATACCTGGCGTCGCTGCAGCTAGGTCGCTGTTTGAGGGCACTGGCTTCTGGACAGAGAAGACTCCAATGCCTTTCAGTCGGAGCGACCATCAGGTGAGTTGCAGCAAGGGCTATACCACTATGGGGCACTATAGCCATTTGTACGTTGTGCATGTACGAATGTGCTTCCCGTGTGTGGCGTATTGTTATGTTACTGCATGGATGTTGAGAGCACATTTGGGGAAGACTGGTACTGGACTGATTTAAAGTATTTGGTTGTACTGAATTTGCATGAAAGGGCGTTCAACTTTAACACCACGGTTTTGCACTTGCACGAAGTTGTGGTGTGTGTGCCTCTCGTGATTCTCGACTGGGCTTGTGCTGCCTCGCACTGCTGCAGCAGCATGTGGTTTCTGGCCGTGGTGGAATGCGAACGTTCTCGAACAAAAACTGCAGATGAACTATTGCCCACCATCGCATTGCAGTTGCCAGGGCAGCATCTGGCAACGTCTCGGCAAATGCGATAACTGAACCGCAAGTGGTGGGCGCCCCAAATTGCCACGAGCGGCCCCAGCCTGCCCAAGAATGCTGTGACTGCAGGACGAGTTGAGCGCTGAGCCTTTCCCTTCGCGGAATTTTCGACGTCCCACACTATCATCAGCATCTTCATTGTGCGGCGTCTGGCAGCGAAATATTCTGTTACCAATTTCGCCGCTAGTAGGGCATTCAGTGGCGAATCCAACATTGATCGTAGCATCAGTGTCATTGGTAATTGTATCATCAGTTCGCTGGTAACATCGAGAAAATGGGCTCGCCATTCGCGCTGGGCAATATACATACTGTAGTATGAAATTCCGAACGTTGGTCGCTGCGTCCAGGTCGTCGGCGTTGGCGACCTGATTTACATCATCGGCGGCCTTACGAGCGACAACAATGCTACAGATGACGTCATCATCTATGACACCGTCCTGGACACCTTCTCGCCAGGTGAGTTGAGGGTTGTGGCGATTGCAATTGATTGGTTACGAATTGCTCATATATCACACGTTTTGTTCATTTACGTGTACATTTATGTTGATTTTGTTTTGTATTTATACCAAACTGCCGCAGGTTGAGAATTCGGTATCGCATTTTTAGAGGATTTCGTATTGCCAGATCAGCATACCCAATTACTGTTGCCCAACACAAGTACAGCCCCAATTTCTTTTGCTCCTCATCCGCTCGCAAGCCGCCGTGAGGTCAGTTGGGTGGCCATGTTGCGCGAAACAAGGGCGCTCTTGTTGACCTCTCTGAAGGCCTCGTTCCGGCACCAGCAATGAGCGCAGTCTGCCAACCATGCGCGCTGGGACATTGAAAGGGACCAAAGGGCGAGGAAGCACGACCCTTGTCCATTCCATGGGAAACAGCTCCGGTGGCCTTGAGGAGCGGCCAAATGCTGTCCACGTTGATCGCAGCGCAGGGCTGGCTCTGGACAGCAGCGGCCGGCCATGGCGTTGGCGGGTGCAGCTCGTGAGGCCTGAGTCACGACCATCACTCGGTCATTATTCACTCCGCAGGAACAGAGGCCAAGTTGGCTTGGGGAGCCGCGCAAGGCGTCACGCTGAGTGCTGGCAAACAGAGACAGCGAAAAGCTAGTGTCGTTTAGTTTATTTCTTTCTCTGTGGTCCTCCAGAGTAGTGTCGCATTTTCATGTTTGTGTATCTTCTGGCGAGGCGCGCGAAAAAGGGCGAAGGCTGGGTTGCTCTGTGGAAGTGTTTGATGCAGTGCTGCGCACAGTATCATGACGCGTGGGCAGCAGTACTAACACAACAATGTTGTTGTTAACAATATCATTATTCAAAGAATTTGTTGTTTATTTTGTTGGTAATTATATTTGTATGCATCGTCATTGAGCAACGGAAATCAGTACAGCGAGGGCGCCAACCCTTTTCTCCACAGGTCCAACGTTGCCCACCCCGCTGATGCGCTTCGGCGCCGCCTTCTTGGCCGGCCCCGGCGGCGACCCCGCACGCGGCCAGATCTACGTCATGGGCGGCTTCGAATCATCTGCCGATGACGCACCATCCACCGCCGCTGTCCACATCCTGGACCTCTCAACCGGCGCCTGGAGCGACGGCCCCGCCATGGCCGCGCCAAGATCGGACCTCTGCGGCGCTGCAGTCGGCGGAAAGGTTTACGCTGCGGGCGGCTGGCCGGACGGTTTCGGAGAGACGCTTGCGACGGTCGAGGTGCTTGAGGCCGGGGGGGTCGAGTGGGGGGCTGTCGAGGACATGCCGACCCCGCGCGGGGACGTGAAGTGCGGCCGGGTCGGGGCGCGGCTGGTGGTCGCTGGCGGGTACTACGACCCTTCCGGGGCGTTTGCTGCCGAGTCGTTCAGGACGGAGGTGCAGGCGTACGACACAGTGAGTGCTGAAGCACATGAGTGTTGAAAGAAGAGGAATCGTCTGTTGTCAACATGTTGTACCTGATTCTCGCATTTCGCTGGAATGACGTTCCCAGTCCGCGCCGACACCCCGTGCATCAACAGTGGCCAAGGTTTTGCGTGTCTTGGATGTTGTACATCCGGGATAGCGCGCTGCACAGGCGATGTTCCGAATTCTGGCCTGCCAGGGGTTATCGAGGATATGGAACTCTTCCTTGTCTGTTCAAAGTGAGTGTTGAGTCGCCGCCTGGCCATGATGACGGCGTTTGCGCCTCATTTGCACAGACGGAATGAAACACACTTGTTAACACGCAAATCAGTGCGTTTCGTTATCAGGCAATGTCGGGCGCTGTGTGGAAGCACAAGCTCTATCTATGTTCCCAAATATCGAATCTGGTGTAGTATTTTGGGAATCCAAAGCGGGGAGGGTTGTGCCCTATTTTCGTTCTCATTCCCTGCCAAACCGCAAGAGGAACTGCTGAGGGCTCACATCGGTGCTTTCACAAATGCGGCCGCTCACAAGGGCTCAGAAGTGGGGATTTGGTGCAACAGGCAGGGTTGAATTGTTGTGTGGACGTTCCACAGGTCACCGAAAGCTGGACCAGCCTGGCGCCCCTCCCTGACGCCCGCGGAGACGTCGCCCTGGCCGTCTTGCCGGGGGACCGCCTGCTGTCGATCGGCGGAGAGACCCACGCCCGGGGGGCGCGCACTCAGGTCACCCGTCCGATTGCCCCTGTCAAATTGGGACAATGGACCGCCCTTGCTCTCCCGCAACCTCATTTCCTTGAAGAGCGGGGTAATTTGTTATAATTTAACAGAGGAATTTGTTAATTTAACATGGGAATTTGCAGCTGGCAGACGACCACGAGCAGAATTCCACCCACATGGCCTGTCCAAATACGCCGTTTTCTGGCCCTGAATGCGTGTGTGCATGCAGGTGGCCACCCACACGGTCTCCGAATACGATGCGTCCCAGGACGTCTGGGTGCCCAAGGCGCCAGTGCCGGCCCCCATTTGTTCTGCTCGAGATGGGGTGATGATGGAGCAGTGGAGCGCCAGGCGGAGCCTTCAACAATCATCCACCGATCCACCATGAAGGATCGGGCAAAAACCCATGCAACATGGCAAAGAGGGAATAAGGGGTGGAGAATGCGAGCTCTGTGTAGTTCCGCTAGATCGCAATCTTCGGGTTTGTGGAGCATCGTGCACGCACGCCCGTTGAGCGAGGTGGAAGATGTGGAATGCGTGCAGTGGGCAAAATTTGCCCATTGCACCCACATTTCGTGTGGGGGGGCTGAGCGGTGGTAATTGCCGCGAGAGAATGAGAAAAACGTGGTTGTTTGGAACCCTCCAAGGCAATCTGGAGTGCATTTGACATTGAAATAGATTGAAGATCATTTCATACACTCTTCAGCGGCTGTGCTTCAGGCAATGATCGGTTTGTCAACGCATTACATGGAGTATTGATGAATACGTATGTTGCTTCCGTTAGAGCAATTCGTGAATGACGCTGGGGCAAACTCCCCTCCGGCCATCAGGGCGCCGAGGAGGTTACTCAACTCTGACACACCCCGGGAGGCAGGAGAAGAGGGCTCGGGCCCGGACACCACAAGACCGAAGGTTGCAAGACCGGCGAGTCCAGGGTGGGCGGTAACGTTCGTTGCTTGCAACAAAGCACGTACGCGAGCGTGGCAGCCGTCGCTCGCGGCGCAGGAGCAACTTGCCGCGCGTTGTGCCGCACTGCGCATTTGACGTGCGTCAGTCTGTCTCAGCGCCTAATTAGGCAAACGTCATTCTCAGTTGAGAAATGTCTTCTTGCCAGCAGGCCCAAGCGCTGCAAATAGATGGCCTCCGACACAAGGAAAAGAAGTGTGCGGATGCTGACGCCAAAATCTACTGTTGCAGCCCTGCCCTCCCAGCCGACGGAGATAGCTGCCACTCCAGTTGTGTATTCCTTTCGTTAAAGTTTGCCAACATCACATGGCACAGCTCAGTCCTTGTCCTCTTCAGACTACGACCAGCACATCGGCAGCAAACAAAGCATCTTCATTCCGAATGCACATCGTATTGCACGCCGTCCGGTCGCACGTGCCAGACAAAGAAGGCAAAACGGCACGGATCTGCCATCCAACTGATAACGCAAGGACAAGAACTTCAACAACGTACACAGTATCCTGTGGTGATCACAATTGACACAAATGCAGCACTCTTGGGTGGATTCTGCATGCACCCCCAACTTCACTCATGTACGCTGGCTGCCGCATGCGCCGTTCCTGTGCTCACTGCCTGCCGTCCATGCCACTCGACCTGCACCTTGAAGGGGACCGTCTCCAAACCCGAGAACCGACAGATCAGTATTCACAACGTTTGGGATCCCGGCTTCTTACGGGCAGGAAAAGTTGGCTCCAGATGCAGGGTTGTCCAAACTTGCCACACTGCCTTGCGAACCAACCGCCGACGAAGTGACCTCCCACTGGGTGGGCCACATGGGCACTGTGGTGCAGTTCTTTGTCTCAGCTGAGGAGATGCTTTCGCAGCGACCAACGATCGATTGTGTCATTCATGGGACGGCGTAGAAGGATGTGATGATAGGGGTACCAGAGGGCCAGTCCCGTCTCCTGCAGGGGTGCGTCCGTGTACCGCCCCATTGGGCTGGATTTGGAGCAAATGCGAGGTGTCATGAAGGGACTGGCAGTTCTGCAGCACAAAAGCAGAGACAATGCCCCTGGTGGCTCCCAACATGGTTCCACTGTTTGACAGCAGCGACCCATGCGCTTGTGCTTCAAGGGGCAGCACTTGGCCAGCAGGAATGGGATCCATAACCTCTAGGGACCCCAGTCACCGTCCGTGCATGAACGGGCCCCTCCTGGGAGAGCCACCGGGCCCCAGCCATCTTCGTCCTCATCTTCGTGCTCCTCAAGGTCTGTGCTCTCCCACACCGACCCGCACTCGGCGTACGCCTCCGGCATGCCCGCCTTCTCGTTATCGCTGCTGTCCTCCCAGTAGGAGGCAATGTCATCCTCTGGGTCGCTGGACATCACGCGCTCGGAGGTCAGCCTTGGCAGCTCCACAAAGGAGGCCTCAGAGGTGTCCTCGCCGCCATCGGAGGAGAACATAGAGGGGCCCGAGCTGGTTGATGGGTCACAGGGGAAGTCGGGCATCGCCTTTTGCCGAATCAGCTCCAGCATGGCTGCGACAATGAATGGGCACAAGCGGTTCAATGGAGACCAGAACTTGCGATTGTCAAGATCACAATGTGAACAGTGGCCAAGATCGTCTGGTGGGCACAAGGCTGGTCATTTGTCGTGCTTTGCTGGACACAATCCACAAGCAACATGCGGTGGCTGCTGTGTTGGTGCAATGAGCATGGCTGCTGGCATTGCCAACACATTGACAATGCTGAAGAGTGAATGCCCTGTCACAACATTGTGACACACTGAATGCTGCATTGTATTTTGACGCATAATTGTCGGTGGCATCCACCACCTCTGGACATTTCCTTGTCTTGCACTTGTCTTCAAGAAGGGCAAACGACATGACATACAAAAGAAGCGATCCAGTAGCTTGCTACTTTTAGCGATTTCACTACATGCGTTTCGGGAAACGTGATGCACGCTTTCAACGACAACTGGCAAACCTGCACTGGATACACAGTGCAACTCGAAATATAATCTCATCAATTGCCTGGGCATGGCAGAATTTTCCAGGGTGCTGTCCCCATACACCACATACACCAGATCAGAATGCAGCACAAGCCAAAGCAATACTGGCATCACATCTTGAGCCATTGGCAGCATTTGCGCACCTTTCCCCCTCCAAGCCATGGTGTCCTTAACAGCAGAGAACTCAGCATTGACTGCTTTCGCTGTGTTGGTTGCTGCATCCAGCATCTTTTCACCTTTCGCCATTCGCTTCACACACCTACAGGAGCACAATGCCGTGTTCAGCCAACACTGCTCAGCCCAGACATTTGATAAATTTCAGGGCCAGCAAATTCACCCACTGAATGATCTCCAGCATGCCAACTGTGGCACCAATTCGCACGGCATGCATGAGGGTTGGTGACTCCCACGTCTCACAACTGCATTGCTTCCCTCAGCTATAGCATTCTATCAAAGCTCACAACCTTTACTGCCAATCTACATATGGGGGGAAAATTTGCTTCATTTCTACTTCACGTTTCTTGCGTTGATGCACACCCAAAATTCCAACTCACCCAAACATGCATGCGTGGATTATTGCGATGCTCCTGTCCACGTTCGTGTTGTCCACTTTTGGGATGAGGTGCTTATCAGCCTTTCGGATCAGAAAGTCCTGGATGACACGAATGTTCTTCAAGTATTTGACATAGCGATTCTTGGCGGGGTCCATTGCCATGTACTTGGATCGCACCTGTGTCAAGGACACTGACAAAACATCAGCACTCTGCCCATCACTCTCATTTCTGTACTAAGTGCATTATGTCACTGTTGAATGACATCAAAATGGCACAGAAGTCAAATTCAATTGACATTGTGGCACCGTTGCTTTTAGAATGGACACATGGCATGGCCATCGTTTGCAAACACGCACTCAATTCAAATCAGCTCACTGTACCCCTCAACACCCCAGGTATGTTGGCCTGTACACTAAACTAACAGATGGGCAAGATCAAGCAACAACATACAAAAAACTCCAAGCAGGTTATCGACACCATGTGTGTCCTAATGCACCAACATCCGAAACATTTGATCATTCCCAACTCCAGACACAACCATTTAGGAAACAAATACGTGATTTGGATGTGCAAAAGCCTATCGTTGTCCTCAAGGCACCAGGGTGCTGTATTCCTCCTGCTGATACAAATGCGATCCACATAGAATGAGAAGCCCACAAAGGATAGGAAACAACTCCCACCCACTGCATCAGGTGTTGAAGACAAGCAACCCACCGCAAAGCGTTCACGATGCTTCTCCTCGTTGGATATATACACCAGGATAGGCACGATGCTGGGATGGCTCCTCATGAGCCTGATGACAAAATTCAGGCTAAGGTGGACACCTTCGCACAGCAATGACTCATTCCGCCCCTCGCACTCTGCAATCAGTCTCCCCAGGTGCTCCATCACCATTTCTGATTGTGCCTTGTAGCCCTTGACAGCCCTCTGCGAGTCGCTCAGCCCCTCCAGACCAATAGTGCGCTCTGCATCGAAGTAGTCACCAGCCTCATAGGTGGAGGCTGCAAGGAGGCGTGAGTCATTGAAGCTCCTCAACATCGAACGGACCGAGTCTGTGGAGATGACAGTCGTGATGCCAAGCCGGTTGGCCTGCACAGTGAAGGCCATCCTTGGTGGTGACATGCAGCGTGCATGCACTTCCACAAGCATTTGTGTGAAAATTTTCCATGCTGCAGAGGTCGAGATCCTGCAGTCTCCTATCTGACTCTGCTAGTGATGAACTGCAGGTCACCATGGTGTCACTGGACAATCAGCTATTGGCTCATGTTCCCAAGGGACAGAAGCTGCTGCTGGCAGCACAAGCAAGCCACCAATGTTTGCTTGCACGAGCTATGCAATAGCCTCTCAAATCCTTATGCAGCAGGGAACCTGCAGAATCTCATAAATTGCCCTCCTACACAGGCCAATACAGCACTGCAATGTGCTCTATTACATTTTGCACCGTCTGCCGACCATGTCCCCATCGCGTCAATGCACTGATTGCTAAGAAAGCAAGCCTTGTTGCCAAAACAGCCCTTTTGCTCAAAAAGAACCCCCACCACTAAACAGGTGCATGGTTTGGATGTGGGGGCATGTTTGATGTCTTACGTACTCACCAGTGATGTGTGTGAACAAGATTGGCAAAGTCAGGGGAGGGGCATCCACCCTGAAGCAGCATTTGTATAAGACTCTTTTCAATACAAAAGGAGATGACACACAACATCTTGGGTGAAGCAGGGAAGTACAGCAGTGCATGTGACACTCTTAGGGTGCTCACCAGCAGCGACGCCAGGGTTGACTTCCCAGTCCCGCTTGTGCCACACAGCAACACAGTCACAGACCTTCTGTGCTCCCTCAGGCTGCAGTAAACAGCATTCTGCCCATGAGAGGCCCACAGCAGACATTAATATGTCAATCAAATGTTCCCTACATACATAGTTGTTGCCGTCAACACTATCGCCCCCGGTGTAATTTTCTGTTGCAACATTCTTCAAATGACAAGGCACCACCCACTGCGCTTGCATTTACCAGGAAATGCCACGTGTGGTCTGCAGCAACAGATAGTGCTCCCAACAGAATTGTTTTCACCAAATGTTCCTCTGGTGCCTGCAAGGCTGAGAGCCCCACTTTGTCTTTCAAAGGCAAATTTGAACACAGGGCTTTGGCCCCTCTGGGACTGACGGAAAAACTGCAACACCTTGAGAGGCAAGATGGCTTGTTGGCCCAGAACAAAGTATGCAACTAAATAGTAGCAGCACACAGTATTGACTATCACATGATGGTCCCCATGGCATTGGCAGACTTGCTGGCACCATGCACGCTGTTGAGCTGCGCTCCAGTGGTACAGTGCACCGCAAGGGCTCTGATGGCAGTGTGTAAGCGAGCTGGGGTTGCCGACACCTGGAGAGGGCTGTGCCCTGCCAAGATGGTCATTGTAATTTATGGGGCCACATCACAAAACGGACACCCCTTCCTTCCTGAAACTGTTTCACATACTGTCAAACTGATGCAGGAGACTCCAGCTAGAATTAGCACACAACATGGAATGGCACATCCAGCAACAGATAAAGAAAGGAAACATCTGCCAGCAGAAACTGTGGCCCTGTGCGCAGTGCACCATACTAGTGTGTCACAAGGGAGTGCCAACTCTCACCCAGGTCATGAACTTCTATTGTCACTGTCCAGCCAGGAAGAAAGAACCACCGCAAAGCCAGAGCTTGCATCAAACATAGTGCGATAATGCCCTGTGGCACCCTGGGTCGCTGGCCAAGGGCCATATAAGCATGGGGAAGTTGGCCGTTTGGTTGGTGCACATTTGGGCCCCATATTTCCAGTCCACAAAGGTGACTGGCGATTTCGGAGCTTGCAACCAGCACTGAGGGCACACGACGAATCAAGCCCTGCCATGTGAAAGCCATTTGGCAACAGAAGCACAGATGCGACCGATGTCTAAACTTTCGGGCACCTTGCCACCAGCAATCCACGGCACTACCCGCACACTTCTGCTCCCAACAATTTGAGCAGCAGTCCCCCTGAAACCCACCCCACCCCTGAGTGCCAGCTTTCGTTCCCTCTGCGATGCTTGGACTGTGTGTGCCCAGCATTGTGCGCCAGAGACTCTACACCATCTCTTCACAGCTTGGAAAGGAGTCTCGCATACACTTGCTCAGGAGTGGGTCCCCTGTGCCTGACCTGCTACTTGTTCTCTTTGTAACAGATCTCACCCACACCACACCACACCACACCACCCACCCATCCACCCCACCCAGCTGCATCCTGGCTTGGGAGGGGGGCTTCCATTTCATGACCCGTGTTTCGGGGCTTTTAACACATCTTGACACACACACGGCACCCTCACCACTGCTTGCGTTTTGTGATCATCATTTCGCATCGGAGACTCTATATCATCTTTTCACAATATGGAGAAGACTCTCACAAATGCTCGCTTAGATGGGGGTGCCCTCTGTATGACTTGTTTCTTTCCCCCAGAACCCAGCACCATGCCCTTTCACGATGGACATTCTGCATGAGTGCCTGGACACGAGGCTACATGTGACGTTGCCTCGTTGTGGTACCACGCAAGAAAAGGGACTTGTACCAGTGGTCTTTCTTGTAGGGATGAATTCACATTCATTCACCACCAGCCCGTTTGCTTAGGAGGGTTGCCTTTTGTATGACCTGTTTCTTTCTCTCTTCGTGACAAATCTTACACCACCACCACCCACGATTCCATCCTTCAGCCCCACCTGCATGCGATCCTCCAGTCCTGGGACAGCGCCCCGCGCCACGCCATCCTCCGGCCCATCGCCTCCACCACGATCGCATCAAAGTCCCGCCTCGACAGCGCCACGCAGCACCCGCTGTCCTCCCCCTGCTGCCACCCGCCAGACTGGGACTGCGCGCGCCACGCCCGCCTTCCCCTTCTCCTCGACGGCCCCAGAGCGCGATCGCGGATTGCCGCGAAAGCATCGAAGGCCGCGTCGCTGATGCGGTAGGCGTGGCGCGGCTTGCAGCCCAGGCACTGCAGGGTGGCCTTGAGGGAGTCCTTGGTGTAGGGCACGGCGTCGCTGGGCGAGGCTGGCAAGCCCCCAGGAGAGGGGTCGCCCACTAGCACGTAGGCGACGTGGGACATGGCCGTCCAGGGGGACGCAAACCGCGGGACAGGGGGGATGGACGGCAACCAGCGTGCAACAAACTCCGTTGAACGGAGGGGGAACTGAGCCTCTGTTGCTGCACAGGGCTTCCTGCGGGAGGATGAAAGCCAATGTGGCGATTTTCGGCAAGGGTGTGGGGAGAATGACGGCAGTTTATAGATTCACTGACTTTGTTTGCGTTTAACATTAGATTTCAATGAACTGATTATAGACACTGCTTGGCTCGGCAAATAGGAAGTTGCCGGTTACCTCATTGCCTTGTTCTGCAAAAAACGATGATGATCGTGAATGACGCAGTCTGTGGGCCCAGGGAACGTTGGATTTTAGCGGCGCACCAAACGCATTTGGGGTCAGTTGAAGAATAACATCGTCTTGAGCCGACAATTTTCGGTGTTTCAGAACGGACCATTGGACGATCGCCGGTGTTCAGGTCCAATGAAGGTACGCGGGAATGACTATGTGTGTGAGACCACGGGATGTGACCCCTTGTAATAAGCATGCTCCAAACCCATGCTTGTCTGCTCGTCAAGCATCATGCTTGACATGATGTCGCACACAGCGACCTCTACTTGATTGTGGACGCTCTGGACCCCGAATACGCCCGCCTTGTCACAAAGTGATGGCAATTGTGTTGTCTTGAAGCAAGGTCCGGAAGAAATTGGGTTTTGTCAAATTGGGCGCCGATTAATTCTGTGTTTTATCGAATTCGCCCGTCAGCCTGGTTGTTTCTTCTCTCGACGAATGAGGATTCTGTGCGTGATGCAACACGTACACCATTCAGGGGCTTGCATGGATGGCAATTGAATATTCTCAGAAAAGTTCAATTTTGAAGTTTTTTCTAATTTTTCCATTTTTCACATATCCATTTGTCATTTTTGAACTTTCCTTCTTTTTGTTTTTCTCTTTTTTTAATTTATTCATTGACGAAAATTTTGCTTCAAATGACATACAAACCAAAAAGTACCTTACAGATTTGATTTCAAGTGAGAAAGCTAGTTTAGGCACTGGATGGCAGAAAGTTTGACAATTTTCAGAAAGTTGATAGAACAAATAACGTACATTTGCTTTGCTAGCAACGGCAATACTGCAGTTGAAGATTTCAAAAATTTGTGGAAATCACATCGACTCAGTGGAATACTGGTCGGCTAATAGATATTCTTGATTGTTAACTAGCACCACTTATGTACGACAATTAAATGAAATTTTTAAAAATTTGAAAAGCTTGTTGGGATAATTAGCAGTAATTAATAGTCGGCTGGTGCGACATATCATCGATTTCAGTACGTATGGCGCCAATATGACGCTTGTTGGAGGAGTATCTTGATAAAAAAAGGAACCCCCAAGGGCACAGAAGACATCATGTCTTTTGTATATTCAACAAGTATGTAAAACAATGATTGTTAAAATTGGTACATTACCACACAATCGAGGAAAAAAAGGCAAGCTCTAATTATTGAACCAAGTCAATATATGGATATTGGCCACACGTTACGTCCATTTTATGCATTTAACCCATTCATTTCATTTGTATTATCTCGGCCCTGAATTATATGGTAAACCCAGTAAACCCATCACGCTTCTAGCTACACAATAAGTTCAATAGAAAATAGTATGCCATGACATCAGGGCGGAGCTGAGAATGCCTGACAGCCAATGCATGAGGTCCATGGGCTCCCAAGCCAGTCTTTAGTCATTGCCAATGGTGCATAAGAATATTTAGCCATTTCGTTGTTGTTAAGAACGCTTCTGCAAAAGAAACCATTTGCTGTCACAAGAGTTGTTTGTGGAATTGTCGCAGAAGCAAACATGAACTCATTGCCACTTTGATATGCGAGATCCAAGTAAACAAAAGAAATGTACAATTTTGCAACATTTGGTGATGTGCCTACTAAAAAAAGACTCCAGCAAAACATTCTCTAGTTTCTCCACAGTATCCTAGAAGCACTGACCACCACATTCAACAACGAAGTCACTGTGTTCTTTTGCAATCCACGCTGACAACACAAATACCCTTTCCCACATATGTCCCTGAATACTTCAATATTTAATAGTATTCAATATTACTTCGAAGTATATTCGAATACTCATGAATTCATGAGTATTCTTTAAAGATCCCGGTAATTTGCCCCTGTAAATAACACCGACATCTGGTTCGCTAACCTCCGGCCAAGTCACTGCCACCCAGCCATCTCAAAAAAAGGAAAAAACCCACACCATGCTGATATATCGCTAGAAATTTGTTGTCCAACGCTGCAAAATTTCAATTTGTTGTAGCTTTTAAGACTCGGAAGAACACCACCGCTCCTCTAAATGCCGAGGTGCGCGGTTGCGCACATCATCCAAGGCCACATCAGTCCCTGGGGATGTGTGGAGGTCCCTCCACATAGCCATGGCAAGATGGCCATAGGCCGTTGTTCTGAACGTAATTAGGCTGCGCTGGCCAGCGGCTGTACGGCAACATCCCTCGGAATGACCGAATCGTTAGTTGTGACAGTGCCTACGCCATTGTGCTGTGTCCCATTTGAGGATAGACCGCCAGGCACACTATAATCCGCCATTGGTGCTTCCACATGGCCTCCATTCGTGGCCTCCAAGTTCACAGTGGGGGCACCGGTTGAGGTAGTATTGTATTTGCAAAGGCCGTTCGTGTTCCGTGGCAGATGAAAATAATATCGCCTCCAGCTTGGAGCCTTGAACCAAAGGCGCCAGTTGCCGTGTGCACCACTTATAGAAAATAGAGACCTTGGCGGTGTATTCCTCCACAACCTCCCCACCACGATTAATGGAAAAGTCGTGCACCCCTTGGCTTGGCCCAGGCGGATCACCAGGTTGCCCGTTGCCTGTCGTGTTCATATTGCTCTCGGTTTGTTGCTGCACATAAATTGCACAAGCGCGTAAGCCAACGTGCACGAATTTCGTGCTTTCAAAGCTTCCAAAGCTTAGGGAATCCACAGGAGAACAGCGTGCCACGGCCACATGTACGCGTGAGACATATACATGCGTCTGTAGCTTTCACATGTACACTTGGCCGTGTAACGCTGCCCTCCCGTGCATTTCCTAAGTCGTCGTGTATGTTGGCTTGCGTTCATGCCACGTGACAAGTACAAATAGAATGCATTGGACCATGTGGCGCAACTCTAGAAATATAGCAATGCACATTGATTTGCAGTTGGTATTTACGCGTGTCCCTCATACTGTGAATCAACAGCATGGGAATGAAAAACCAGAGTGCCTCAATCCCAAAGATCTATGGCTTTGGATTCCAGGGGACTAGTTGGGTTGCGACCAGCTTTTCCTGGTGATAATGTAAGGGTTGTGCTCAACATAGCAAGGAATAAATGCACAAGGACAAGCAACATGCGCACATATCAAGCCACTTGGGGTCTCCTGGCACCATATCCGTTCTCATCCTGGTCCACAGCGCCTATACGGATGTCGATTGATGCGCATGCCATGTGCGTGTTGCCGCAGACTGCACGCGGGTCACATAGCATTAAAGGGAGTTGCGCATTGTACCCTGCAATCAAACGCATGCTGCTTTAAGATCAATGCCGTACACCTCATGCAGGACACCCAATCAGTTACACCAACTGCCTGAAATCTCAGGCCCAGGGCATCTTCCCCATAATGAGAGACTTATTTAAACAACTTCAGCTGGCAGGTCATTTGCATAGACTTTGGGACTACTTTCGGACAAGTTCCTAATGTCGATAGAGCGCATTCCCTACAGAATATTAGATCCTGCCATGGAGATTCTCCTATCCTCAATAACAGTAGGCAGAACGCCCATTTCTGGTACGTGAGTTTTCACATCCCGTGTATTTGAATAAGATGTCTTTGGCTCCCATATTCTGGATATCGAATACATTGTGGGCGCCCGGATATCCGCATCCAAATATTGCGATATCCCGGATATGCCTATCCGAAATATGGCCATATCCTGGAAATGTATGCTCCATACCCAGGATAAGCGAGCATGTATCCTATGATGTGGCGAGGATATGGTCGTGGAAATATGAATATTCTGGATATTTAATATCCGATATTCGATTTGCATATGCTTGAAATGCAACTTTTTCTTGAGTGGGCTCACCAAGGCAACATTTCAGGGCATGACCTCCAATGTGAGGTTTGTGGTGCTGCTGCTCTACGAATGTGAGAATGGATATTAACTCGAGAAAATCAATTTCAATTTATCTTTGGTTGTTTTAAACAAGAAAGAATTTTTGGATTTGACCTTAATCGGGGACGCAATAATATGCACAGTGCGCCCACTACTGTAAGCGCAAATAAACAATTGATTGCGATGTGAAATTCAGTGTTGCCATATCGAGTTCGGGATGACCATCACCGATCCGGCAACATGCGATCTTTGAGGAGCCCTCTCGGTTTTGGAAATTGAACTTGTGATCGCCTGACAAGCATTGTACCTGTTTGTTACATGTAATTTCAGTAAAATTACAACTAACAACATTTGGCGACGTAGCAGCCAAATCGGGAGTCCATCAAACTGTTCTCACGAGCTTCACCATTGTATTTTAGAAGCACTGAGCTGAAATTAATGTGAAATTGTTGTGTTGCTTTTGCTTGCCAAGCTC